AGCCAGGATGCCATTGGCCTTCTTGGCCACCTGGGCACCCTGCTGGCTCATATTCAGCCGGCTGTCAACCAGTAATCCTCCCTTCCCTGGGTGCCGCGGCCGGGCGTCTGGGCAGTGGGACCCGGGCCGTGTGCCAGCTCTGGTACCTGACACCTCTTCTCCTCTTCGGATGCCACTAGGGCCCACATGGTCCCAGCCCCCGTGACTTGAGCCTCACGCTCACCCCCGAGAGCAGGGAGGGGGTGCTGAAGCAGGGGGACGGTGCCACCTTCAAATACGCTGAACGCGGGGCTTTCCCCAGCTCTGTCCTCCCCAGGTATGTCCTTGGGGTGGGTCCCTGCCCCTGTTTCTTGGGACACTGGTGTGACCTGGTGGGGGGGCTGGGAGGGGGACCGGGGACTAGGCTGGGCAAGGGGCAGCGTATTGAGGGCTTTGCTGGGGACCTGCTGGGGGCGTTGGGCTTCTCCCGCCTGTTTGGGGGAGAGATCTGTTTGCTCAGGGACAAGCAGTGGCGCCGGCAGGGTTTCTGCGTGCAAGGGGGTGGCAGTCGTGCTTGCAGATCCCCCTGCTAATCCTGGGTCAGGGCTTGGGGTGTCTCCTGCCCCAGCGAGGCGCTGGCAGGCTGCCAGGAGGGGATTTTGGGATGTTCTTCTTGGAAGCCCAGGTAGCTCACAGGGGCAAGGCAGGAGCTGTCGTGCCCTGAAGCCGTCTGCATATGGGAAAGCAGGGGAGCAGCACTGCAGCCAGCTCTGGCGTCGTGGGGTGACGCCTGCCAGGTTGGTGGGGCTCTCCCCCCCCGTGCAGACGTACCCGTCAGCCTGCTCTGGCTTTTTTCAAGCAGCCAAGGGACTTCCCAAATCCCTCTCCACACCCTGCTGGTTATCTTTCGGCCAAGCTGTAGGGCTCCCCAAACCTCCAGGAGCGCAGCAGGGGAGGCGTCGAGCTGTGGCCAAAACCACACGGGTACCTGCGACGTGGAAGGGGAATGGGCTCCGCCGCCTTTAAGGCAGCGCTGGGGCTGGCAGGGACTACAGCTCCCAGCATGCTGCTTCCAGCCTGTCTCCTCCAGCCCCCACCTGGCAGGGCGCAGGCAGGGGTGCTGGCACCGGGCGGCCGGGGCGGTGAATCCTGCTCGGCCCCGGGAATGGTGCTGGAGATGGGAGGGGGGGGGAAGCGGGGAGGGAAGGTCCCTTCTCAGGGGGTCCTGGGGCTGCGTCTTTGGGGTTGTCTTCGGGAAGAGCGATGCCAGGGTGGTGGCAGGGGCCGGGCAGGTGGTGATGGGGGGGAAAAGGAGCGGTGGGCGCTGGGGAGGGGACAGCAGGGCCAGGGGTGCCCTTGGCCTTCTCAGGGTGACCCAGGAAAGGGCTGCGAGAGCCCCAGGGGAGCAGGACTTGGAAATAAGGGGGGGTTGCGCAGTGGGTGCTGGGGAGGGGACAGCAGCGCCAGGGGTGCCCTTGGCCTTCTCAAGGTGACCCAGGAAAGGGTTGTGAGAGCCCCAGGGGAGCAGGAATTGGAAATAAGGGGGGTTTTGCGCGGTTCTGGCCAGGAGAGGCTGCCGAATTAAATGTGTCTTTTGTGCCGCCGTGCCCCGGGCGCGTTGGAGGGAGGTGGGGAGGGCGGACGGGGGGGGGGCGGACACAGCCCCGCTGCGCGTATGCTTCGCTCACAGCCCCAGGATTGGGGGCAGAGAGCTGCAGGCTCACAAATCCCTTAAGAGCCTGCTGCTGAGCAGCTGGGAGGCCGGCGCTGAGCAGCCTGGGCATCTCAGGAAAGCAGTTTCCCTTTCAGAGGGAAGGCTTGGTGTCCCCCGGCTGGCAGAATAAAGCCGTGTGTCACAGCTCCTCGGCTGAAGGACTCTGAGCCGCAGGTTTCCAAAGCTGCTGCGCTGTGCTTTCGCCATTTGCCAGCTCTGTTTGGCTCCCAGTACTGCAGCGCGCTTGCCCGGCGGCACGGCCGGGGGGGGTTAAACCCAGCACTGCCCCTGCCTGGTCTGCGTCCCTTACTTCCCCACGAAACCCTCTGTTTGCTTTCCAGACGGAGAGCAGCCACGAGACTTGCCAGGACCTGTGCTGACTCTTGCCACACAAGATGACAGCAAGAGACGGGCCCCAAGATAGGTAACGCCGGGCTCTGGTGTAGGTGTGGGGGCACATCCAGGACACCAGGAGGTGAGGGAGGACCTGGGGGACCCCCTCTCCTGCACGCTCACTGGGCTACCAAGCTGTCCCTTCCCTGAGATGCTCTCTCCATCAGCTTTTCCATAGCAAATGGGCTGTAAACAGTCCCCGGTGCTGGGACACGCCTGGGGAGCGTGACTGCCTCCCAGCTCTGGAGATGGCTGCTGTGCATCTGGGCGCCACATGCTGAGGAGCCACCAGCTTCCTCCTGCCTTCGTACCCTACCGGGGAGGGTCTCCCACAGCCCCTCTGCAGTGCCACATCTCCGGCAGCCCAGGATACCAGGGGCTGTGGGGCAGGGGCAGAGACAGGGCAATAAATTTCCTCCTCTTTCCTCCTCCTGGTGCCTCCTGCTGTGGGGCTGGGGACAGCCAGAAGCAGTGCCAGTCGCCTGCCCTGCCCAGCATCCCACTCCAAACCACTCTGTCCCCTCCGCAGGTACAAGGCTGTCTGGCTGATCTTCTTCATCCTCGGCCTGGGAACACTGCTGCCATGGAATTTCTTCATGACCGCCAGGAAGGTGAGGGCTTCCCTCCCGCTGCTGCCCATGACACTAATTGTCCCCTGTCACATTTAGGGATGACGGTGTAGGTGTGGCAGCATGGCACAGCGTAGAGCCCCCGCATTTGCATGTAGGAGACAGAGGCGTGGGTGACCCGGGTGCGACGAGTGGCTTTGAGGTGGCAGGAGGGCTGGGCATGGGACTGAAGGGGGTACAAGGGTGGCCTGAGTGTGCTGGGGGGAGACCTCGCAGCACCTTGGCCCCATCAGGCTCCTTCCTTGGCAGTATTTCATCAGCCGCCTTGCAGACTCGAAGCAGAACCAGACCAATGAGGCTACCTTGCCCCACTCCTATCTGCAGTCCATGTTTGACAACTTCATGACTCTCTGCGCCATGGTGCCTCTCCTTGTCTTCACCTGCCTCAACTCCTTCATCCACCAGCGGTGAGCCTTGCCCCCTCCTTGCCCTTGCCAGCCCCCACGGGGACCCCCGGCTCCAGCCCGTTCTTCTGCCCCAGCACTGAGCCAAGCCGCAGCCCGTTCAGTCGAGCCAAAGGCAAAACACCGGTCTCCTGTGCTGGGGTTCGGCTGGGATTCCCATGGGAGAGCTTGGCCCCAGACTCACAGGCTTTCGGGGGGTGGGTTTTCCTCAATAAGACCCTCTCTTGCAGGATTCCCCAGCAGATCCGCATCTTGGGCAGCCTGGTGGCCATTGGGCTGGTCTTTTTAGTCACCGCGGTCATGGTGAAGGTCGCCATGGAGCCTCTTCCCTTCTTCATCTTTACCATGATCAGCATCACCTTAATCAACTGTGAGTGAGGCAGCGGTGGGGAAGGAAAGGGGCAGAGCCCCATGGCTAGGGCTGATCTCTGTGGGAGAAAAGCATGAACCTCACTGCGGGAGAGCCAAGGAGGAAGGGGACCTGCCTTGCCTGGCAGGGCGGGGGCCTTGGCTCCCCGCAGAGGTGCAGTCCATCTTTTCCTTTGGTTTCTCATTTCTGCTCATCTTTCCCCTTCGCAGCCTTCGGCGCCATCCTCCAGAGCAGCCTCTTTGGGCTGGCAGGACTCCTGCCTGCCAGCTACACAGCTCCCATCATGAGCGGGCAGGGCTTGGCAGGCACCTTTGCTGCTTTGGCGATGATCTTCAATATTGCCAGTGAGTAATCCCTGCCCTGCGAGTGACAGGTCCTTCCCAGAGCACTGATGCTGTCAACAGGATCTGCGGGGGTCATGCTCCAGGGTGGGGGGGGGAGATGGCAGCAGTGCCTCCCTGCTCTCAGCCCTCATCATCTTCTTCCTTTTCCCCCCCCAGTCTCCTCCCATCCTGTGCTCTCAGTTGGCAGCCAGCAACCTGAGGGCTTCATCGGTTACTTCGCCACGGCCTGTGGGGCAATCGTGCTGGCAATCATCTCCTACATCCTTCTGCCTCGCATGGTGAGACTTTGTCGTCCTGGTGGGGAAGGGTGTGGGGACACAGGACCTTTGCGCATCAAAGCACAAAGACCATGGCCCACTCGCACCCCAGCCTTGGCTCCTGCCAGCCTCCATCTCCTGGGTCAGGGCGAGCTCTCCCGTATCCCAAGGGAGGTCTCTGGGATACTTCCCACTTCAGATACCCCAGTATCCTTGGGGTACTGTGGAAGTGAGCCCCTGGGTGAGCAGGAAAGCATCGGTATCAGACACAAGTGGAAGGAATGCTTTGCCCATATTGTATTTGCCCATATTGCCCATATCTGCTGTTAGAACACAGCCCCTGGCAACCTTCTTTCCTCATGCATGAATGAGTTTTACGGGGCTGTCTCTGCAGGATTTCTTCCGCTACTACTCCATGAAGGACAAGACAGAGTACCGTGTATACAATGCGGAGCTGGAGACCAAGAGAGACCTGATTAAGAAAGGTGAGGGGCTGAGTGGAAGAAGAGGAAGGAAAAAGAGGAAGAGCTGAGAGGAAGAATGAGACAGAACGACTAAATTAGATCTCAGCTTTCTGGGGTCTGCAATGCCCTACTTGTGTCTCTCCCTGCAGACGAGCCCAATGGGGTGGAGCAGAATAACTCAAAGATCATCCCTATCCACAACCCTGACGAGAAGCCCTCGGTCATTGCTATTTTTAGGAAGGTCTGTGAGTTGCCAGCACCCCCTGCCCCTCTGATCAGGGGATGGGCACAGGTGTAGGAGAGCATGGGGAGAGGAGACCAGCCCTGCACTGGTCTCTTGCCCTGTCTCTGGTACCAGCCTCTTTTCTTTCATCTGCCTAGCTCTGGGTCATGGCTGTGTCTGTCTGCTTCGTCTTCACTGTCACCATCGGCGTCTTTCCTTCCATCACAGCTAAGGTGTCCACTGTCCTTGGAGAGGGATGGGGTAAGTGTGGCCTGGGGTGGGGTGGGGTAGGAGGAAACTGGGAACAAGGTAAATGGGAGAAAAGAAAGTGGGGTTTGAAGTAGTAGGTATCCCTGAGGGGAAGAGGAAACCACTGTGCATGATGGTTTGGATGCAGACACCGGCCTGGCTTGGGCGACCATTCCAGTCCTTCCTGGGAAGCCAGGAGCACCTAGGCATGAAGGACAGTTTCCGTGCAATTGGCAGGATGGCCTGAGCACACCAGTGACCTTCTCCCTCTTCTGCAGGTCAGTACTTCATCCCGGTCTCCTGCTTCCTGCTCTTTAACGTCTTTGACTGGACGGGACGGAGTCTCACTGCCCTCTTCACATGGGTAAGCATGGGGCAGGGAGCGAATGCCCAGGCAGTCTCCATCACCGGGCCCTTGGCCACAGCTCTCACTGGGGCTGCCATCCATGGCTTGGAGCAGGAAGGAGGTGCAGAGCTGACTCCTGCCCTGACTTTAAGTCCCAAGCAGAGATTTATGGGTCAGAGCCGAAAACCACAGTGTTGTCCTGTCCTCCTTCCACCCCTCTTTCAGCCTGGCTTGGATGAAGCTGCCTCCTCTGTTTTAGCCTCTTTGTAAACAAACCTTCACTCCAGCTATGCAAACAGCCAGGCAGGACGGCGGCAGCGAAAGAGGGTGAAAGACAGGGCAGCCCAAAATAAAACCTCTGGCCCCCACACAGGACACAGCTGCTTTAAAGAGCCTTGTCCTGGGAGCAGGGCAGAGCCGTGCCACACGGATCACAGAGCTGTCCCCTGCCATGTCCCCTTGCTCTCATCTCCCCTGCCTGCTCCAGAGCTGCTGGGCCTGAGCGGTGGGAGCTGTGATGGGGGTGGGTGAGGAAGGGGGCCCTCCTGTCTGCCTCTCTTCCTGCCCCTTCACCCCCCCTACCCCCCCAAGCACCATTTCCCCCTGTATTGTTCAGGCTGTTTGTTTAGAGAAGCTCCTCAGCACCATGTGCCGTGGGGGCTGTCCGGTCCTGGAGCTGCTTCTCCCCTGGCCATCACTGCTGGCTGGCCTTGGCCTTGGCCACGAGCCGTGTTGCCTGGTGTCCAGGCCACAGCCTCCGTGGTGGGATGATCCAGCAGGAGACGTTTCCAAAACAAGGCTGTGTGGAAAGTCTGACTGTGTGCGGTTTGGGCCTCATTTCCCTGGTTGGGGCCCCGCTTGCTCCTTTTCTCCTCCTCAAGCAGGAGAAGCTGCTGCTCTTGCCAGTTTGCCCACAGAGACGGCAGCTGCCCCTAACCTCAGCTTCCCCCTGTCCTCATGAGGTGTCCCATGGCTTCGCCAGCCCAGGCAGCTCCCGAGGCAGCTGTGGGCCCCTCCGGACCCCAGACCAGTGAGCCCTGTCATCTGGGCACCCCACTGAGGGGACACCCCAGGTGGAACCAGGCACGTCTTGTACCAGGGGCCACCTTGGTCCCAGCTGCAGGGACAACACAGGGCGATGGTGCCTCCTTCTTTGTCCCAGCCTCACGTGTCCTGGGACTCTGCTAGGATACAAGGAGACCATAACTTGGTCCGGGCCTTTCCCAGCACTGTCCGAAAGAGCCCCAGCGTAATCCCTTTCCCAGATTGCTGGATCTCGCCCCGCTTTGGCTGGGGAATGGCGTAGGAGGCTGAAGAGCTGGTTAAAGCCCAGTTTGCAGGCCCTGAGGTGCCAGAGGGGATTTACCTCAGCCAGCCTTGTCCTGCTCGGTGGTTTGCTGCAGGAGGAGATTGCGTGAGCGTGCACAAGGCTCTCCTGCTTGTTGTTTCCAGTAAGAGCTTAGCGGTCACTGACCAGCCCAGCTCGGTATTTTGGCTCTAGTGCTGCTGCTCTCCCAGCTGGCTGGGATAGGACTTTCAGACCTAGTGGAACCTCCTAACCACAAGAGGTGGTGATGCTGAGATTTGCTGCAGCAGAGAAAGTCTCTCAGCAACCTTGCCATCACTGCGGCTCTTCCACAGCCCCGACGCAGTAGGGACAGCCTCTGTGTAGCCCCTGCCGGAATGCCTTGGGATGGGGAATGTCCGCTTCTCAGCTCCTCAATGACCTGTGTTTTTCTCCCAGCCCGGGAAGGACAGCTGCCTCCTGCCAGTGATGGTGGCCCTCCGTGTCATCTTTATCCCTCTCTTCATGCTGTGCAACGTGCATCCCCGTCAATACCTGCCTGTCTTATTCTCTCATGATGCCTGGTACATCATCTTCATGATCTTCTTCTCCCTCCCCACCGGCTACCTGGCCAGCCTCTGCATGTGCTTCGGGCCCAAGTGAGTAAGAGCTGGGGACAGGGGAAGGGTGGGCTACACCCCCCGATGCCAGCCCCAGCACGACTCCTGGAGTCTGGCTCTTCTCAGCGCTGGCATCTGGAGAAGGGGATGCAGGCACAGAGGGGAATCGCCACACCACCTCAGGGAAGACAACCCCAGCGCCCCATCTCCCATCCTAGAGATGACGAAGCTATTGTTTGGGCTCTCCATTCCCCCCACCGGCCGTGCAGGGGAAGGGGCCGGACGCAGCGGGGTGTCTGGAGGGGAGCAAAGCACCCACAGCAGGGCGAGCAGCCTTGCCCGGCGCGGGAGCGCAGGCGGCACGAGGATCCCAGCTGGGGCTCAGCCAGGCGGGCTGCAGTGCACGGGGGCAGGAGTCGGGGAGGGGTGTCCCTGGCGCCTGGAGCTTCAGGGAGGCTTGCCTGATGCACTTTCTCTCCCTTTATGAGCCTGTACCGTGGAGGCAGGCTCTTGGAGCCAAGGTGGATTTGCTCTTGCTGTTCCTTTGCTGCAGAGGACAGCGGCTTCGGGCTCCTCTGTGGCCTCCTCCCGTCTCTCCGTTCAGCTCACAGCGGGGCACGGGGCGCGCGTCCCCGAGGACGGGTCTGACAACTTGTTTCTCCCCTAGGAAAGTGCTTGCCCACGAAGCAGAGACAGCTGGAGCCATCATGGCCTTTTTCTTGTCGCTGGGCTTGGCCCTAGGAGCTGCCATCTCCTTTCTGTTCCAAATTCTCATCTAGCGGAGGCGCCTGGAGGGTGCAGAGACACCGAGAGACAGCTTTGCATCCTCCTCCGAGGCCCTGGAGACCTCGGTGCCGTGGGGAGATAACACCCCACGCCTTGCCCCTGCCAAATCGCACTGCCACGGCAGACGTTACACCCAGGGATGGTTCCACTCCTGCAGGGTTGGCCTGGCTCCTGCCACGCTCGGCTGCGTGATGCCTTCAGGCCTACGTGCCTTTTCCTTTCCCATGCTGTGCAAGACCCCGGGATCTCGCAGAGGTCCAGCCGCCTCCCACGCTGTGTAATTTCCCCATCTCAAGGCCAAAAGCCATTCTCAGCCTCTTCCTCTCCAATGGAGTTGAAGGCCGTTATCCAGTGTTATTCCCTCTCTTGCCCTTGTCCCCAAGGCACCTAGGGACTTGCTCCCTCTCCTCTTCCTTCCTGGAAACATCCCACACCACTGCTCCTTGCTGGTGAGACTTGCAGACGGGGTGGAGAGCCCCAGCCAGCCTCACCGTCCCCTTCTCTGCTAGGGACTCATTCCCCTGCGCAGCAGCATCCCAGGGACATAGACATCCTTGTCCCACCCACATGAAGAGCCAACACCACGGCTAGGCTGAGGGAGGAGGAGGTCTCCACACCCCATCTTCTCCCCCTCTCCCTGCATTTGTTCCCTATTTTTTTTTTTTTTTTTTTGTGAATCTGCCGCTTCTTATTTTCTGCCTCCTGGTTGTGTGACAGGAGGTCCCACCGTGAGCTGCAAGAGGTGGCAACTCCTTTCCAACCCAGGCTGCTTTCCCTGCCCTCCTGTGCTGTAGGGGGAAGGCCTGACCTCTCCCTTGGCTTTCCCATCCCTTGTCTGTGTAAATGTGTACAGTTGCCGTTTTCTATAAAAAAAGACCAAAATGCTCCTTTGGGTATGCGTGTCTCTCCACCACCAGAGAGGAGAGGGCTGCGGAGGGGCGAGGGTTGAAGGCAGTGGGTACCACCATTCCCTGGGTGTCCCCAGGGTCCCCATCAGGCTACAGGGGACCCCCCAGCGCCTCCCCGCTACAGGGGCTCGGCCAGCGTGGGAAGGGGGTGCTGCCCCCAGGGGACACCCCAAGGGACCACCAGCACCTCTGGTACGGTAAGGAGGTGCATTTTGGGGTGCAGCGACCTGGCGCACACGCCCCCGGGGGGCTTCCCTTGGGCTTGGGAACAGCCGGAGTGCCCCCTCCTGCTCCTGGCGGGGAACTACAGCGCCCTGCCAGCGGGCCTCCGTCCCACACCGTTCCCAGCCATCGCCCCCTCGGCCCCCCCAGGCACCTTGGTTTATTTGACCTGGTTAAATCTTACTGTATAATCTTATTCAGAAAATTCCCTAAGCCTTTGTTTAAGTTTATCTTTATTGATAAAGTCAAGAACTGCTGGGTTTGCCTGCACCAGATATAGACATTTTTGGATGTATACTTATTTATACATCCTTGTAAGGACTGTGGAGTATAGGCAAAGGAACAGTAGTGAGTCAGATATGTCCTGAGTAAAGTAACATATACATGAAGAATGGGAGAAAGGCATACATTACATATATGTAGCTAGATCTATGGGGAAGTACTTTCAATAATTCTCTGTGTCTCCAATAAAGTAAATATGTACAAAGAGGAAAGTTGATTTGCTAAAATTTTACAAGCTAATTATATAGGAAATTATATAAAACAAAAAAAGGGAGAAAGGCTGGCTAATGAATTCTTTGTTCTAAGCAGATGTAAATTATTTAATAAAATATATATGCTCTGATACTCTTGCACTGCTAGCTACAGTGCGTAGCCACAGCTACTTAGTCCACAAACAGTCTTTAGTAATTCAATACACATATGTAAGTCGGACTGTGCTGTTCACCATGGAAAACAATTCTAGCAGTAGTAGGGAAATGGATTAATTGACAATTTTTGTTTTACTCTATTTTGATTCCTTTGCTATAAAATTCTATTTCCTCTATGCTATAAATCATTTCATAGTAGAGACATTCACTTGGAGCATGATAACATACTGTAAGCCAGCAAGAAATTTTCAGATGTGTCGCTTTAATGACTTCCCAAAGACTAGGTGTAGATCTCTATATCTTCATTGAAAGTATCTGAAAAGAGATATTTGACTATCTTTCGTGGTTAAAACTAAGGTATAAAAAAATGGGGGAGGGATTAGAAAGCCCTTTGTCTTAACTTTCTCATATTTGCACCGCATCTTTCCTTAATATATTTTACCTCTGTTTAGCATATTATTCACTATTCATAAGGTTCAGTTTGTTGTTTATGATATTGTTTATCATTAGTTTAGCAAATTTAGTGTTTCAAAGCATCAGTATTTAAAAGTTGTTTAGCAGATCTTATTACCTCTCAGTAATTTAACAGTTATTTGTTTGTTTTTCCATTGCTGCATTTCTGGTAGAAATGGACGTAAGTTCTATAGTTTTTAAGGAATGGAGAGGCTGAGATTTATAGTTTATATGTGGGATATAAAAATTTCTGTGTAAACTTAGAAACTCTACTGAAGTAAAGGCTTCTTTTTCTACAGCACACTTTGCTGTGTTCTGGTGTATACGAGTTGGATAGTTAGTTGGAAGAAAACCTACAATGTGTTCTTCCTTTCCATAATTTCTAGTAACTATATCTAAAACCAAACATGAATGTTATTCTTTGCAAATAACAAGCTAGCGAAGTCCAAACCATTTGATCATAGTAACATCTTTGTATTCTCAGGTAACTCTGATGCAGTATTATTGCTTCCCTTCTGATTGTGTAAAAGTGGACCACTATCCGGCACATGTCCATCACTTTTGTTAAGAATGGTCAGAAGTCTTATTCCCCCTGCTCCCCAATGTTTTATGTCATGAGTGAAAAGATTATATCATGCAAGTTTTCATAGGCTATTTTTATAGTCAGTGAATAAAACCAAAGCATGATCCATCTGACCTGTTTTAGCCATTTATTTAGAGTTAGTTAAATTGTGCCCAGAGGTTACATTTTTCTTTTTTGTAAAGTGAACTTAGGTGACGAGCTTAAATGGATATGTCTGTACAGTTAAAAATTTGAAACTCAGTGAAGTGAAACCTGCTTAGGATTTCTTCATGATGAATGGTATGACGTAAGCAAGAGTTAATGTATGGTTACAGACCAGCACTGTGCACTACAAAATTTCCCTCTTTGCTTGGTTACCCACCTTTTTTTCATATATAAACCAGGGGACAAATTGGAGAAGTAAGGAATGGTATTTCTAGGAAAATGGATTGTTGGCCCCCATATGGATGACTTGAGAGAATTTAGCCCATGTAGATCAAAATCATTTGTTCTTTAGACTTGTCAGTGGAAGAGGTCTTCATTTAGAAATTGTGCAGAATAGCTTTGCAGTTTCCAAAATTCCAGTCCTATAGAGAACTGTTTCCAGTGTGCCTTACAGTATGAATATTTCACATAGGACACCTGCAGTGACTGTGTTGACAAAGATTATCATTGCACTTGCATGTGGCAGATAAAAGTATAAAAGTGTGGTTTGGGGAATAGGGATGAAGGTGAGAATCCATCTGTATAAGCATGTACTCTCCTCTATGCCATCTGTGCTTACCTTCAATTTGGTTATTTAGCCTTTATCCATTAAGGCTGAAGAAGAATTTAAGTTCAGTCCAGCTAAGAGCTTGGACATGCACCAAAATGATCATCCCGGCGCCCCCCTTCCCTTCCCTTCCCGGCGCCCCCCTTCCCTTCCCTTCCCGGCGCCCCCTTCCCTTCCCTTCCCGGTGCCACCGGCTTGCGGTTGCCTTGCAGATGCCTGAGGAGGTGCAGCACGGGGAGGAGGATGCGGAGACGTTCGCCTTCCAGGCGGAGATCGCCCAGCTCATGTCGCTCATCATCAACACCTTCTACTCCAACAAGGAGATCTTCCTGCGGGAGCTCATCTCCAACGCCTCCGACGTGAGCCCGGGCCCTGCTCGCCCCTGCGGGGGCGGCCTTCTTTCCTCTGCCCGGGGGGGCTCGGGGGAGGCTGATGTCCCTGCGGGGTTGCCCAGGGAGAGGCCGGTGCCTGGGCGGCCCGCGAAGCTTTTGCTGGGGGAGGGAGGTGGCTGGTGAGGAGGGAGGCTGTGGGGAGCATCACCCTCTCCCCTAGGCTCTGGATAAGATCCGTTATGAGAGCCTGACAGATCCCTCCAAGCTAGACAGCGGTAAGGACCTCAAGATCGACATAGTCCCCAACCCCCGGGACCGCACGCTCACCCTGGTGGACACTGGCATTGGGATGACAAAAGCAGACCTCATCAACAACTTGGGCACTATTGCCAAATCTGGTACCAAAGCCTTCATGGAAGCCCTGCAGGTGGGTTGCCTTGGGCTGCATGGGTTCCCTAGAGCGTGGGCCACGGGCTTTCACTGGGGTATAACCCCAGCCCTGCTGCCTCTTTTTGTTGTGGGAGCTATTGGCCTACCCAAGTGTGCTTCCTCACCTCCCCAGCAGCAGGGAGGAGCTGAGGGTAGGGCTGGCTGCCTGTTGGTACTTGCCCCTTTTTTTCTGCATGCTGTCCCTGTTCTTTTCTGCTGTGAATCAGATGCAGATATCTCCCCCCTCCTCACTGGTCCAGGCTTTCTCTGCTTTCACAGGCTGGTGCAGACATCTCCATGATCGGGCAGTTCGGCGTGGGTTTCTATTCCGCCTATCTAGTGGCTGAGAAGGTTGTTGTCATTACCAAGCACAATGACGATGAGCAGTATGCTTGGGAGTCATCAGCTGGGGGCTCCTTCACTGTCAAGACTGACCATGGTATGTGTTCAAGTGCATTTCTCTGCTAGAAGCACCCCTTCTCCTGATGCTCCCTAGAGCTGGGCTGTCTTGTCAGTCATGCTTGTTAATGTGAGATGTCAAGTAACAACTAGGCCTGAGCAGCTGTCTTGCTGTCTGCCCTTTAACACTGTGCCTTGAAACACTAATGTTTCTGTCCCTATGCTGTAGGTGAGCCCATTGGACGGGGCACCAAAGTGATCCTGTATTTGAAGGAGGACCAGACAGAGTACTTGGAGGAGCGGCGTGTCAAAGAGGTGGTGAAGAAGCACTCCCAGTTCATTGGCTACCCTATCACACTCTATGTACGTAAGGGAAGGACTGTGGGGACCCACTGGAAAGCTGGAGGCAGGGGTGGGTGGTGTTGGGAGCAGGAGCCCAGAAAAGGGCAGAGGACGGTCTCTTCTGTTCCCTTCCGTAGCTCCTGGCTGCTGGGTATTGAGCAGTGGTGCTCCCAGCTTCTGCGGCCAGAGGTGATTTGAGGCTGGGGACTTACTGGAGGTGGAGGGTATACAGCCATGCTTTTGGCCTTTGATCTGTGCAGCTGGAGGTCAACTAAACCAGCCACGGAGGGAGGAGGGTTTCTGGCCCCTTGTCTCAGTCTTCTCAGACACAGCTTTGGTGGCATGAGCTGTGGAAGGAACTCTGAGGGCTGGTTTCAGGAGAAGCCCTAGTTCCAGGTGTTGCATTGGTGAGCCTTGTGTTATGTCAGGAGGACACCTATTTCTCTCATCTGGAGCAAAAGGATTCCTGGTAATGGTCGCTTGGGGCTAAACCTGAGCTCATGGCCCTGAGTCTTCCTTGTCCTTTTCTCCACAGCTGGAGAAGGAACGTGAGAAAGAGATCAGTGATGATGAGGCAGAGGAGGAGAAAGATGAGAAGGAAGAGGAAGAGCCAGCATCCAAAGATGAGGAGAAACCCAAGATTGAGGATGTGGGCTCAGAGGAGGAGGAGGAGGAAGGAGACAAAGGCAAGAAGAAAAAGACCAAGAAAATAAAGGAGAAATACATTGATCAGGAGGAGCTCAACAAGACCAAACCTATTTGGACCCGCAACCCCGATGACATCACCCAGGAGGAGTATGGAGAGTTCTACAAAAG